CTCATCAGAGGAAGCAGCCCCCAGTTCTGTCACTGGAGAGCCATCAGTCCCATTGCCCAGGTGTGACAGGCATCAAGATAAGTCAACGGAAAGTCTCTCTGGAACACCTTACAAGATTGAGGGGGGTAACTGCCTGCAGAATATGGCACATATTATGGGATGCAGGAGAAGAACATCTTGTTACTGTACAGAACTTACTATGGGATGCTTAGGGGAGGGGCTAAAGGGAGGGATCAAGGTGGTTTGGGGAGAAACAAGTATGGGAAAATAGAAGGATAAGTGATAAAAAGGCCTGGTCAATTGTGATCAAGTGGTTGGTCAGTATGTTTGGCCATTCCCTGTGCCAAATTACCACACAGCCTGCCCGCTTTTCTCATCAAGCTCCATTTCTAACTTTTCCTGGCTGAGGGGACTCTGTCCTGTATTCACGTGTGCATACTGAGGTGTATGTGCCAGCAACTGGGGTGGTACCATAGGTTCTAGGGACCTCTGCGTCTGGTATGGCAACATCTGGAGAAACTGGCATGGGTGAGGGCCTAAGTGTCAGCAACCGGAGTGAAGACCAGAAATCTTAGAGGCTCGTGTGTCTGGAGTGCCAGGCACTGGAGAGACCAGAGTGCACGTATATTGTCCTTGCCAGTATGCCAGTGTGTGGTTGCTAGTGATATCGTGCAGGGCTAGCCGGTGAGTAGGAGAAGAGGCTTGGGAGCCAGGTTTTGAGGCAGCTGTAAGTGTGGGACAGGTACTGTAGTGAGATCAGAGAGCCTTCAGTTTGGCAAGATGAGAATCCAGGAGGCTCAAGCCAGCTACTGGAGGGACTGTAAGATTTGGGAGTCATTTTGGAGGCTCATTTGCATGTGAGTGTCTGAGTGAGGCAGCTGGAGACAAAAAGATCCAAGGGCCAGTGGCTGAGCAGACAATGTCTAAAGCCATTTACTGGTGGATTATGGTTTGCCTGTGGGGAGCTGCATGTGTGTGTTTCTGGATGAGGAGATCTGTGCCAGCAGCTGGGGAGACTGAGGATTCAGGGTTGGTTCCTGGATAGAGTGTCTGAGGCTAGTTACCGGAGGGATCCACAGTGAATGTTTGTGTGTATTCCCTACCAAGGGACTTCTGTCCTGGCCTCCTAGGGAGAGGAGCAGGATAAGGCCAGGCCATGTTTGTGTTTGCATGAGCACTGTTTCTAGCTGTGTTGATACGTATGTGTGTATGCATGTGTGTATGCATGTTCACCTGTGCGACTGTGGGAGTACATCCTCAGCTCTGTCACTGGCTAGGCCTGGGGG